TAAGGCATAGGCTGAGTATAAATAAGTCAGTGGTAGCCCAGTGGTAACGCGCTCGCTTAGGAAACCGAGTGAAGCGGGTTCAAATCCTGGGTCTCGCACCTCTGATATTGTCATGTGCGAATCATTTCCAACATGATTTTCACTAGTCTTAGCGGTGAAGGATAACATCGTGAGGAAATCTACATGTCTGAGAGAACCTAGCAAGTTTTCAAATGACATGTGAAGTCCGCCGACCCGCACTTGGCCAGCGTGGTGGACTATGGCCTGATTCCCCTTGTATATAGTGATGTATATTTTTTACACCATCAACAAGTAGAGATTTCAATGAACAAAAAGCCCATCGACTTTTTTAAAAAAGCAGATATTTTGACGAGAGAATTTTCGATTGAAAATTAGGGTGCTTATTCGATATTAAGTCAAAATAAGGTGAAAAAATAAATATTTTAAATAAAAAAAAATTGTGTGTTTGAGATATATATAGGTAATTTTTCACCAAATTTCGTTTTTTTTTTTGTAAAAGATAAAAATAAAAAACCAAAAACTTCGTTATTTGAATTTTTCATATAAATTTTGAGGTTATGTAAAAAATGTGTAGGTAAATACAAAACTTGTAGATCTTTTTATTACCTACAACTTTGCCATTTAATTTTTTTCCATAGGACTTGTAGTTTTGCCGGAAATCGAGATAAACCGTTTTTTACCCTTACAAACTTACCCTTCCACTTCCCTACCTCAGATCGCCCGTAAATTATTTTTCCCTTCATTATTGTTATATTCTCTTCCTTTTCCAATGGGTTTCATCCTTTAATTTTTTTTTTTCACTTATTACCATTTTTAAATGCTTCAAGCCTTGGTCTAAAAAACCAATAAATGTATTCGAATGATCAAAACACATTCTTATAGAGAATTAAACGCTCTACAAAAAAATATCGATAAACCTATTCGTTCAAAAGTTATTCAAACTGAAAGTTAAATTTATGTTATAATTACACTTTTTTTCAATTTCCGTTAAAATTATTTAAATGTTTATTGTGCTACTAAATTATGTATAAATAGACAAATTGACCAACAACGTTTTTTTATACGTAATAACTCCTTACAATAAAATACTTTAACGAATAGGTAAATCTGGACAGATTCAAAAACATTACTAGAGCCTCTCAAAGTCTAAATCATTTTCCTATGCGAACTAAGCTAATTAAATATCCAGTTCCTGACAATACTGCTAACGTTTGCAAGAACGGAAACGAAAAATAATGGGCCGTTCATTAATGATCAACTAGCAAGAGCCAATTGGTGTAATGTATGAACCCAATGCCAATGGCATTTTTTGCTTTGACAGAATAGAAGAAGCTTATAGACTTTCCAATATGAAACCTAGTTTTTAATCTTCTTAGTCGCATTATGATACGAGGAACTGGGATTGTTTCTGATTCTCAGAGTATCACTATACATTTATTAAACCAATAACATTAACGTAATTTTAAAATCATTTGTAGTTAACTTTTGGGTTTAAGTATGTTTTTGAATAATAAGTACATTAAATATTTACATATAAACTTTTAACACTTTCTTAATGCGAATATTTGACATCTATACATAATATAATAAAATTGTAACTAAGCCGAATCTGTACATTAAATATTTTTTGGAAAATCTTATTGAAATAGACATTATTATCGATACAGAGGCCGAATCTATAGTTTTTACAATTATTGTCTGTCATACTATGGAGTCATACACCTGACATAATATGGAGAAATCATTTGTAATTAGAACCACCAAAATTCAAACGGTCAGATCCTCTCTCTTCTGGCATAGATTCACTTCTTGCTCCGATCGATTCTTTTTCTAGTTACATAACAATCCCTAGTTCAAAAATTTATTCTCAATACAAAGTATGCTACTAGAAAAGAAATTCGTAATTTCAAGCCATGTACTTCAACAATAAATTCATATTTGACTTGACTTGCCCACAAATAGATCGATATTATTTTGTTTGTCGAAACAATATCAGATAAGTTCCGATTACACTTAATTACAAATTGTTTTTAATATCTCTGCTTCATACTTTGTGCATTAGTATAATATGTCCACTGAGAAGGACGCCAGGACCGAAGGGGTTAAACAAAAAACCTATTTTTGTATTATAGGTAATTTTGACCATATTTATTTAGACAATATGCGATGCTTACATTATATCAGTATAATGTTCAAAACAAATTATTTTCCATCCGGTAAGCATATAGATGAAGGTCGACCTTATTTCGGTTTTTCTACTTTATGGTTTAATGTAGTATATATTATATTATAGTATGAGTATGCACTTAATCAGAAATGTACATACAAATTTACGTCTTGTTCTTTATATCATTGATAATTGTATTTTTAATGTTAACTTATATTATTTATTTACTTTTCTTTGGTAAAGTCTTTTATAAAGTTGTTACTGTTAAGTACATTCTTTTTGGCTTTTACGAGACCGCGAAAAAATCGGTTGGAACAAATCCACGACCTTAGCGCTGTAAAGAATTTTTATTTATATGTTGGAAAATTGTAACAATTTATGAAATCATAATACAATTTGCAAAGTTCCTTAAGTACAAAAAAATGATTGCTTAAAAATCATTCATATGGAAAAAAACCATATTGATTTTAAATAAACTCACTTAAAACCCAAAACAAATATGATTTTAAAAACAATACAAAAAAACGCATCATCAAATAAAAGACTCACCGGTGAAAGTTAGATGGTGTAATCTGTGACCAGGTCTATACTATCCTAGAAGCCACTTTGCAAAGAATTGAATTGAATTGGCAATATTTATCTTCTATACATTTTATGGAAAAAAAACGGGATGTATGTATTAGGTATTTTAATTCCTATCCGTAACTATCTCGGAATAATCGACTCTATCAAGCTGTTCAAAGCCCCCGACGGATATGCTTGAGTTTATCTCGCGTTACATTTATTTTTTAAGTCGGGGGTTTTTAAATTATTTTATCCTTTTTCAATTACTTTTAACTGTCGTGAGTTTTTTCAAAATTTAGTAATTTTGCTTTTTATTTTAAACTTTTAGAGAGCATAGATATTATGTATGTACGTTGCCTTCGTCTTTTGCCTCACAAACATTTTTGCGCTTAAATCGTGTACGACGTATGTTTAAAAAAAATTTCTAAAGAATTTTTAGTTTCTACATCACTACTTCCTATAGAAGTACTTACCTATCGAGTTTTATCAAGTTTCCTTAGTATGTAGTAGCTACTATAAAATAAAATATATTAATGAAACGCCCCCTAGTGAGCTACTATCGTAAGACCTATTTAAAAACCCTCACTAATCAACTACAAGCCCATTACTGAAAACCGCATCAAAATCGGACAAGTAGTTTGGGAGAAAAATGGCAACATGGATTTGCACAAACAATGTTTGCTGCAGGGCCCCCTGGTGAGTTGTCATAGTAACACCTATCTAAGAACATGCAGGAATCAACCCCATATCTGAAAACTGCATCAAAATCGGACTAGTACTCGAACTAGTAGTTTTGAAGAAAAATGGCAACATGTATTTGCACAAACAAACAAACATCCTCTCGCCCCAAACGCATATATCGTCTCCGTTCTGTCGTGTGTAATAACCCCCGTCGAATAATAATAATTAATATAACAACTCTTTTCCCACCTCTCTAAGTTAAACTACTAACATATATTTTTATAGTATAATTTAATTAATTTTTTGTGTTGTTTTTTCTATTTTTTAGGTGGAGGTATAACATTAAAATCCTTCTATTTAATACTGTTAATCCAGTCTCTAAGTGGAATAACTCAAAATATCACCGGCCAATCTCGAACGTGACTCCTCCATTCAACGTGACATTGGCGAAATAATTTGTGCTCAACTGGCACGCATTAAAGCTATTAAAGTAAAGGACTGAACTGAACAACTCTTTTCCTTCGTATTTTTAATTGTATTGTCTGTTATAATTTTTGGCAGTATAATATGACTACCAGTGAGACCTTAATTCCATTTTACAATGTGAAAAATTTTATGTAGGTAATTACAGTAATATAAACAACCATTACTCTTTGATATTTCTATAAAGAAATAAACGCTTCCTGTGACTTAAAATTGCATGTGTAAGTGATTGCATAAATAAGTCGCGGCAAAGTGATGATAAAATAAGTCGTAATGATTTGAATTTAGTTGAATATTTTCTAACGACATTGTTATATCAAATTAGTAGATAATTACAATTTGCATAATGTATAAACCAGTTGAGTGAAATAGACACAATAGATATGATTTAGCTTGTTAAATTAAAAAAAAACATATTATAATTAGCAAATACTTTAAATCTGGAGCCATTCAAATGGTTTTTTCTGTAATTAGTGCATATATGTACAAAAAATACATGTCACCACTTAATTTTAACAATATTTAATAACCCACTGAGGAAGAAATTTTCCTCAGGAAATGACTGAGGGGATCACAAATTTTATATCGAACTAATATTTTTTGAAGTAGGAAAAGTTTTCTTGACTAGTGTATGTAAATCTTTGCAACGTTATTATTGAAACGGGTAGCCGAAATCTTTACCTGATATCATTTCAAAACGCACACCTAGGTACAAACCCGAGCGAAGCGAGGGAGAGTCGCTATTATAAAATATTTATATATTTTTTTAAATGCCTCTGTTTAAGATTCTGTTTTTATTTATTTGTGTTTTTCCTTACTTAAACAAACATTTAACAAGAACAAGCTTTCTAAACTATTCAACATATTTGATTCATCGCTGTCGTCATATTATTATTACTATTTATCATCTTTAACTTTATTTTTTTTTACACAAACGAAATGCTTAGATCTAATAGTAAATAGAGAATGCATTCCATGATAAATTGATCAATCAAACATTTCAATGAAACATTTAAACTACTGAAACAAATAAAGTAATCAGACTTGAAAAAGAAATGTGTAATAAATTTTCTTAATTAAATACCTGCTTGAGAAATGCTGTGGGAATCTTGGTCATCGTAAAGAACGAATTTTGCTGTTCACCACAAACAAACTTCCACCGAATAGAATCGCGGCAATCCTTTACGCAGGAAGTTGCAAATAAAAATAAATGGAGCAGACGAGAGACCGGTGCCTCTTGACCGTCAGCTTCGACTGCACCCGCTGTAGCTTCTGACAATCTGTTTTCATTACTGATTCGAATAAAAAAATCTATGTTTACATAGCGATCATGTGAGATGGTGGCGAAAACCGCGATAGATTTCGTTCTAAAACTACAAGGATTACAAATATTACAATACACACTATATAACATTACACGCTGAACTCTTATTTTTACGCCTGACTGTACATTGAAAAGTAATTACTTGTGATAACTCAACATTATTATAAGGTCGACGATATGTAAGTATTGAAAAATACATGTTAAATGTATACGTTTAATACTAAATATACTAATTTACTTGCAATGTCGCTACTCACACACATGACACACAATAATTATTATTTATATTTATTAAAAAAATACTAATAATTCATCTTTGGTCTACATTTTTTTTAAATACCATTACTTTATATAATCTATATAAATAAAAATGAATGACCGAAATGTATGTAAGTACGCGCATAACTTCGGATCGACTGCACCAAATTGAATAATTCTTTTTTTGTGCTTTTTTTTGTCAGAAAGTTTTGTATAGAAGAAAATTAAAAGATTTTTTTTTATTTTCTCATGATATGAAAAGTGAGTGAGTGAAATAGTTTTTATCCCAGAAATCATACCTTAAGGGGGTGAGAATGGGGATGTATGGAGAAGCAAGCTAAACTAGTAAGCTAAACAAGCTAGTAAAAAATAAATAAATTATAAATATTTTATTATTATATATTATATTTTACATTTTAAGTCCACGACAAAGTTACAAGGATAAGTTAAATGTATTAAAACATAGTAGAAACTTGAACAGTCGGTTTAGAACCTAATGCATACCTACGCTTGAACTAATTCTAACTTGCCTAGAACTTGTTCTTTGACAAGTACATCTGTTTTATAACGAAAAATTTTGTATGAGAAAGATGAAGGAGAATGTCAGAATTGATGATCATAAATGAAAAATCAATCTGATATCGATACCAGTGAGATACCAGTGAAATGTATAATAAGGTCAATAAGAAGTAAAATTACTAAATATCTATGTATATGTATATATATAATAGCATTAATTACCAAGAGAAATATTATAATTAAAGTAACAGTTAACTAAAATCGACTTTGTTATCGCCAATTTTCAAATTATACATATACGTCTAAGAACAAGGAATGTTTTAAAATAGTATAAGTATAGTTTTGACCACACTTTTAGCTCAGTTTCTAGTGACCCTGCTTGCTGTGCCAACGGGTTCGAGTCCCGCTAGGGGTATTCATTTGTATGATGAGCACGAATGCTTATACTCCAGTCATAAGTGTTTATATTTATAATATGTATGTATTTAAAGTTATATATGTATGTGTAGTGTATAAAATATCTGGTATCCATAACACAGGCCACTTAACTTACAATGGATCTAGATGGTGCTGTGTTAATGTCCGAACATATTTATTTAGTATACAAATTACAATTTATATACAGAATAACAAGTAAATAAATGTTAATAAATAAAAATAGCTAACGGATTTTATATATAACAAATAAAAAAATTAAATAAGCTGATATTATGCTACTTTTCAAGGAGAAGAGAACTAATGCTTAAGAAAATAATATAATTATTTTTAGTATTAATATTTTATTCTAGATAATTTTATATAAATATAACTATATTTAAAAAAAAGTAAACAAACTGTATGGCAAAATCGATAATAGTAACATAAACAGTAAACCACGCTACTATTTTTGAGATTGACATTTATTTTGGCGGACTACGGCAATAGAATTCTTTAGTGTTGTGTACACATAATGAAATAAACCTTTCATTACTACACAAATTTTTAAATTAACTAATGAATAATCTGACATATAAGTACCTACATATATAAATAAATATTGGCATCAAAATATTGCTTTTATATAGGTGCTTAAATAATTATGATACTATAATCAGTTAAAATGTTATGTTGATTTGATTTTTGAAATATTATGTTATAATAAAAAAAAACATATAAAGAAATACCTACTATGTTAGCGGAAGAAAATATTCTCAAGCAAAATCCAGCTTATCTAAAAGAGATCGCAATCTGACTCACGGCATCTGACAAAATTGAAAACACTCAGATTTCAAACACTTGTGACTAAATAATAAGTACTATATCTCTTTCATAAGCTAGATAAATATTTATTATATCTTTTTTTAAATCTGGCAATCGATGTGATACAATGGTACCGTAATAATACGAAAATCATGAGTTCGATTCTTGTGCATTTCAAAAAAATATTTTCATCGGATATACATTTTTCGATTCATTCATTATTCGATTTCATTTTACACTCGATCGAAGCACTCAACTCATAAGCAATATAGTTTTTTTTTATATCCCACGGAAATATCCATTTTCCTATACGCGTTACACACGCGCTTCAAGCGTTAGAGCAACAAAACACTATAAGCTTACAAAAGTGATTTTACCTTAAAGGATGCTTTTTTCTCAGTCTACAGGGCACCCACAATAATGACATGATCTATTTATTAAAAAATATTATAAAAATCCTAAATAAAAATACAGGGCAATTGAATAGAATTCAATAAAATTAAAGAATTTGTTTGTTTGTATATCTGTTTAAACACACTATCTCTGGAACTACAAGGCTTTACTAAATCTTCTAAAAAACGAATTAATGATATACAATCTTGGGGCCTTTATAATTTTTTAAATTTACTTATTGTTTTTGAATTAATTTATATCATTACTAGCGACTCACCCTCACTTCACTTCGGGTTCAACCCTAGACAAAAACAAATCTATCCAACTGAAAACGCACATTTTTCCGAGATAAAAAGTAACCTATGTGCTATTCTATAATATATCTCTGTGCCAAATTTCATCCAGATCCGTTTGGCCGTTCTAGCATGAAAGAGTAACCAAACATCCATCCATCCATCCTCACAAACTTTCACAATTATAATATTAGTATAGACTTAAAATTATAAGTATATATATACCTATTGCTTAGTAAAATAGAGTTTCTCTTTTGAAATGACGCGACTTCAAAAAACTAGGTCATAGGTTTTTCTCGTCAATGTCAATGTTATGTCGTCAAACGGCCCCACACACCTATATTATAAAATGTAAACAAAGTAATAAAACTTTATAGTTTTCAAATGATAGAGTTTATATAAACCATGTTTTTTAATTGAATTTTAAGTTCCATAAGTACTTTTTGCGTGATGTGTGCATGTAAATGAACAAACAAACATACAATAATCTCAATTTTTTTACGTCCGATAGCCTATTATTTTTCAGTATTTTTAAAAAAATATTTAATGTACAGATCATGTTGAAATTACTTTATAGTACAAATAAATTATTTTATAAAATAAAATAACGTTAATTGTATACTTATTTAATAATGAAATACCTATTGTTATTAATATTGACACGGAACTTGTTTTAGATCGTGTGTCCAAAAAGAATAAATGTTTTATTTTATTATATTTATTTCTATTAGAATGATGAGCCTGACGATAGAGTAACAATTTCTGCATTACTTAAACAAATGCTTATTTTCCAAGAAACAATCATTTTACAAGCTCTTCGTGAGAGACTTTTTTTACTTGTAATCGTTTATTCCACATAATTATCATCATTAGTAAATAAAATATTATTTAGAAATGTTTCAATTGGTTTAATACTAATGTACTGTTATGGTATTATAAAATAGTGGTGGCTGAATACTAGCAGAACTTTACATATCAACGGCTGAAAGGCTAATTATTAGTCTAAGCGATATTTTTTGCAAAATTGAGTTTTACACATATTTGGAATCAGCTGGGTTTCAAAATTTTATGAGCATTTCTTTGGCGCTTGGTATACCCATATAAATTGCTATCATTATGAGTACCATTGTTTCAACCGACATGAAATCTACTATTTCGATTAATAAGTAACTTAAGCTATTTAGGCATGTTTCTTTTTTTTAATATCTCTGTTAAATCGCTTATCTCATTCTATCTCGAATATCTAACGTACGTTAAAGCATTTAGCTTTCTGTAAAAATACTTGATTGTGTCGCTTGATACAATTTGCATTACATCAGAATAGTGTACCACGTCACTTGAAACATTAGAAAAACATTTATTTTTTACTAGCATTGCCCGCGGCTCCGCTCGCGTTCGATGACCAAAAACCAAAATCTTAGGTTTTACATAGTAGTATACTCTTACAATGCAGATTTTGCATTTTTCTCAGAAATGAAATATTTTCCCGCGGTAAAAAGTATCCTATATGTTGACCCGGATAACCAGCTATCATCGTACCAAATTTCATCAAAATCTGTCACAATCGCTGACAACGAAATGGATTTAATGAGGAAATCTTTAGAAGAAGATGATAATGGTGCAAATAATATTATTAATTTGCTAGACAATAACCAGGTTCAACTCGAAAACAAAAAACCTAATAGGTGCCAAGTGATGAAAAGCTATGTTGATTTCCTGATGAAGAATCCTCGTCTGGGATCGACTGATTAAAATTAAGCTCATAATTAAGTAAAACATTAAACGTACTGTTTTTGTTATAAAAGCCATCTACTTTAATCATTATAACAAATATACTATTTTTGTAATTAAGATTACTATCTGTAATTAAAAAATGAATGATTAAAAACTTTCAAAATACTTGTTGGTTTTGTTTTTACCCGACTGCAAGGAAAGGTTATGTTTTTCGCGCCTATCTTTGTATGTTTGTAATATTCTTAATTCCCTCATATCTGCTAAACCACTCGATGGATTTCTTTAACTAAGGTATCGTTAGATTTATCTCATTAGTCCAAGTATTCTTAGATAGGTGACATAAAAAAAATTATGTATAACGGAATTTTATGTAATAATTTGATAAAAATCTATACAGCAGTTTTTTACAATGAAAACTTTAAATCGCTCTCCAACACATTTCAAAAAATGTCACATAACACAATTAGCTTTTCAGCCGTCGATATTTAGATATTATATTCATTTTGATTCATACCTATTTTCATTTTGTTACCCACTTCATTTACATGATCATGTATGTGTTATATTATAATATTTTTATAAAAAAGGTAAATGCTCATAGATGTTTACTTAATAATCTATCTTAATAATCTTTATATTATGGTATCATACTTTGTCAATATATATTTAGATTTATATTCATCAACGAGTGTAGAATGACATCTTGTTTAGGTCCCCATCTATACATATAATAAAATTGTAACTAAGTCGAATCTGTACATTAAATATTTTTTGGAAATTTTTATTGAAATAGACATTATGATCCATACAGAGGCCGAATCTATGATTTTTGTCTGTTTGTCTGTCTGTCTGTCTGTTACCGCATCACGGAAAAACCACTGGAGGGATTTTGATGAAATTTGGTATAATGATAGCTGGTTATCCGGGTCAATAATATAATATAGGATACTTTTTACAGCGGGAAAATATATCATCTCTGAAAAATCGATACTAAACGAGCGAGAAAGCGAGTATGAGTCGCTAATATTATAATATACTAGCGGACCCGACAGACGTTGTCCTGTCTACACGTCTTTAATTTGAAAATTTCAAACTTTTTTTAATAATTTTTTTGATGAAAATTATTATTCAAATTGTGAATCTAAACCATTCCCAGATCCCCTTGAACACACAAAAAAATTTCATCAAAATCGGTCCAGTCGTTTGAGAGAAGTTCAGTGACATACACACTCACAGAAGAATTATATATATAAAGATTTGGCTAAAATGGTCATAATAATATAAACCATGTTATTTGTCATCTGCCAAATGCGCTTATCTAGCAAAAAGTGGTAAAAAAGACATCCTTTTAAGAGTCACAATTTGTGCGATGAATAGGTATATGATTTGATTTGAAACACGTGACAGAATGTGATAAGGTACGCAAGATATATGTACATACATATGTATCATCAATCGAGGTCGCAGGTTCAATTTTCGTCATACGACATACCGTTCATGTATTGTTTTGTTCAGTTTATTCAATAATATGAGAACTACCTTATTTACATTGAATTTAAAAAAATAATAATTTGGTTGTTACTTTGCAAAACAACAGCACAATTAACTAGCCAGGACGCCCGAATCATGTTGACCGTACCGACTACAAAGGCTCTTTTTTCTGTCTGTCCATTGAAATTATCATTTGTGTCCTTTCTCTTTACATATTTAATAGTTATCTTACTTAAATTAATCTTACTAATATTATAAATGTGAAAGTTTAGATGTTTGGATGGATGTTTGTTACTCAATCATGTCAGCAAGGCTGAACGGATATTTATGAAATTTGGCACAGATAGGTTATATAGGTCTTGGGTTGGATATATAGGTCATAGTCTGGAATAGTATGTAGGCTACTTTTTATCCCAGAAAAATATAAGATTCTCATGGGATAGATTTGTTTTTGTTTTTCTAGAGGCGAACCCGAGCGAAGCAAAGGTGAGCCGCTAGTGACAAAATAAATTAACACAAATAAAAGACACCAAAGGCGTAGCATGGCAGTTCTGTTACAAAAACATCAACCCGTAGGTTACAATATTTTCTAAACTTCTAAAGTGTCCTAAATACACCATGTGTCACCCGTCTCTACCAGAAAGACTCATAAAAATTTTACATTTCGGTTTCAAAATTTCCCATCTTATTGTATACTTATCGAAAGCTGATATCGTAATCTACGATGCACGCGTTGATAATTCCTGAGACGGCTTCAACATGATACTTATATGCTTTTAATTAATAGTAATACTATCGAGACGATAAATAAAAGCAACTTTTCAAAATAAACCTTTGGTTTACATATTTTTAGTAATGAATGTCTATAATAAAATTTACCTGAATGATTTTTTTACTTTTAATTAAAATTATTACCGCGATAATTTTATTTTGCATGTCAATCATTTCAAAATAAATTATATCTATACAAAAATCCTTCGAGAAGGAACTCATATTTTTTATTGGCAGACAAACAAGAAACAACAAAGGAGAATTATACTGAATGACCACTCTCAGTTCAGTTTGGCTACGAGATCCTAAGGATTCATCCACTTGTATAGGAAACTTCGAAATATGTACTAGGTCCTGTTGACTTATCATCGCAAAAGTAAAATTATAACTGCATGAGCTAATATTATTTGAATAAAACCTAACCAAATAAAACGCTTTCTAAAACATAATTAGCTTCCTTTTTACCCGACTGCGCGACGCAAAGGAGGATAATGTGTTTATCAGCCTATAGTGTGTATGTGGGTTTGTACCTTTATGGAACTATTTAGACCAAACGCGTGGCCTGATTTTGATAAATGACACGTCTGATTCGTCATGACGGTGCGAATGTCATAGAAAGCATAAAAACGAGTATGTACATCTCGCGGTAAAGATGAAACGTGTATGTCTCCGACTGCATGAAACCACAGATCTTAAAATAGGTACTATATTAGATAATACTATATTACTTACCTATACTGATAAC